GCTCGTTCACTCGACGTTTCAAAATTTTAAATAAAACAATAATAATAGTAAGAAAACCACTGACATTTAAACGTCAAAAATATTTCTGACAAAGATTGCAAAGCCTACTAAGATTTTTTCATTAAAAATTCATTCCAACTTTTGATCGACAACCCCGTTGTTGAACGGGCAGTGTTTGCTTTATTATTTTTTATCTCAAAAATTAGTCGTTTTTGGAAAAATTTTAGAGAGACAAAAAAGTTTCAGGATACTTTCATCTACCTATGTAATTTTTTTTTAATGTATTTACCCTCTGCATAAAAAAATTTTAGCAAAAATGTAAAGGGGGTGGTTACGTTTAGTAGTTTAAAAGGATAGCTTGAAAGTACAAATAGGGTGAAAACGTACCCTACTACCAGTTAAACATATTCCCCAAATTTCGTTGTCCTAGCGTTTCTGGTTTTTGAGAAAAAGAAATTAAACCAAAATTTTCCGCCATTTTTGGAGGGGTGTAGCTCCTTAGGGGAGCCCAAGTCGCCCATGGTTTATATATCAAAGTACCCTTAAAATTGCCTAAAGAATCACCCCCTGAAGTTTGGGCATATCATTCAGGTACACCCTGTATATAGTGTTCTATTTAAAAAAAAATAAAGTAGGTGGCGACTTCCGGTATAACCGGAAGCGCTAAAAATCTGAAAATATTTTAGTCGAAGAGAACGTAATTGATTATACTTAAATTTGAATTTTCAAATTTTTATTTTGGCCAGAACCCCATAAATGTCTAATGAACGGTCTCGCTGAGACACCCTGTATATCTTGACCGAATAGCACAAGGGAAACGCTATATATTAATGTCCCAAAGCAAACACTACATATTAGTGATCCCAATCAAATGCTATATATTGGTGGCCCAAATCAAATACTACATAACGGGTTTTCCAATAGGGTCGAGTCGATGTTGAAATGGCATAAAAAAAGTTATGTGTGAGGTATTAACGAAATTCTTTTTTTAGTTGAAAGGCCCATGCATACGCCGCGGCTTAGCACGGATTTGACAGGTCCACTGTTTAATGACTGCTGCATAGGTCCGGCTGAGTATTTGAGCATCGACCGATTGCGGCTTATTGCAATAATCACTTCAGCGAGAAATAACCATACCCTACGATTGTGGAACCACATCGCGCCCACGTCTATATCGTTCAACCCGAGTCAATGGAAATTGGTCACTAATACCACATATGTTCGCTCAGTATTGCCAATATGAACACCTTATATTGGTCCCTCAACACGAACACTACATGTATATAGGAGAACATAACTGAACGACATACCTATATTGGTACCTAGAGTGACTGCTGCATATTGGTGATTCAATGCGAATACTATACAGGGTGTAAGAGAAATAAGTAGGTACACCAAATTTAAGGGTATATCGTCCATGACAATAAAAACAATTTTTGCTTGTAAAGCGTGTAGCTCACGACCGAGATAATTAATTATTAATATTTGTTAAAAATGAATATGTGCAGAGTCAATCCCAAAAAAGAACTCGGGGTACAATGTTTATTTTTCTCTAATTGTTGTTGTGATAATTGTTATTCTGTGAATTGGAGTTGTTAATTCTTGCATCTTTTGATTCTTTCTTTTTCATCGATGCTATCTACAATAACACAACGCAGTACTGAACCCATCTTCGATATAAAAAGATTTAAAAAGTTATTTCCTTATTTCTATTACATCTCATATATTGGTGATTCCAAACGAACACCACATATTGGTAACTTCGAATAAACGCTATATATTTCTGATATAAAACAAACGCTATATATTGGTGACCCCAGCTTGAACACCATATATTGATTGTACTTCTGGAGATTACGTTGATATAATAATAGCTTAAGGTGGTTATACAGAGAACGATTGCCATTTATTGATTGTCCACATTATAAAATAATTCAAAATGTTGAAATACGGGCTGTGGTGACATAATATATCTTTCCAAAACATACTTTGTACACTGATTAACCTGTAGTCCTACATGACGACAGGAAGAATATTATTGCAGGATGTTGAGAGTAACTGACAACATTCATCATAGAGTTTAAAAAACGTTGAGCAAAATTTTACAAAAACTTACAATAAAGCAGAATCGAACACAAACACAATTAACTCAGTAGACAGACTGACAAAAAAAGTATAAAATTATAAGAGTGTAGGTCACATTATGCGAAAAAATGGAAAGGGGCGATTATAAGTAACAATTTATTTATTTTGAATTGAATTTTAGAAAATAAAGTTAATTAAGTAATTTAAGTTAAGTAATTTAACCGACTATAACAGTAGATTATCATTATGATTTTTGTTAACAAATTCATTTCGTTGTTTCCATGATTTTAGCATTATGATATTTTGAGATTAAGTCGGCAACTTAAAGCAAATTAATGA